CTTATTCAAAGATAGAGATAGAGATAGAGATAGAGATAGAGATAGAGATAGATAGAGATAGATAGATCTGGTCTCTACCCACCTCCACAGCTTCATCCTCTTCCACTCATCCCTTGTGTCTATTCCTTTGCTGTCTATGCTCCAGCTACACAAGCAATTTTTCAGGTCTTTAAAAGTATCAGATAGGCCTCCTCCTGCTGCAGGTCCTTGACATGCTGTTCCCTTGTCTGAAATATTCTTTCCCTTTTCTTTACTTGGTCTATTGCTACTTAGCTTTCAAATCTCATCTCAATTCTCAGTTCCTCAGGGAAGGTTTCTTTCCCTGATCCTCCACATTAGGCCAGCCCCCTGTCATTAACACTACTTTCCTTCAGTCCATTAAACACACTATATAATTCATTCCACTTATCAAATATGTAATTACATATTTGGCCATTATTTCATTAATGCTGCATTTGCCACTAAATTCTAAAATGTAAGAGGGCAGAGACAATTTTTGCTCACAAATATCTAATATCTGGGGAATCATTAGAATATTACTCAGCACAAAATAATAAATGTGGAAACAATGAATAAATGGGTGAATGGGTAACTGAATAAACGGTAACAACTTTTGATTCTAGATGCAACTAGGAATCTGAAAGAAAGTTAAGAGGAAAAACAGGGGGTGTCAAGGCAATTCAATGGGGAAAGGATAGTCTTTTCAATAAATGACAACTGGATATTCATATCCAAAAAAGTAAACTTGGGCCCTTACCTCACACATATATAAAAAATAACTCAAATATCCTCTCACGCCAGTCAGAGTGGCTAAAATGAGCAAATCAGGAGACTAGAGATGCTAGAGAGAATGTGGAGAAACGGGAACCCTTTTGCACTGTTGGGAATGCAAACTGGTGCAACCACTCTGGAAAACAGTGTGGAGGTTCCTCAAAAAATTAAAAATAGATCTACCCTATGACCCAGCAATAGCACTGCTAGGAATTTACCCAAGGGATATAGGAGTGCTGATGCACAGGGGCACTTGTACCCCAATGTTTACAGCAGCACTTTCAACAATAGCCAAATTACAGAAAGAGCCTAAATGTCCATCAACTGATGAATGGATAAAGAAGTTGTGGTTTATATATACAATGGAATACTATTTGGCAATGAGAAAGAATGAAATATGGCCTTTTGTAGCAACGTGGATGGAACTGGAGAGTGTTATGCTAAGTGAAATAAGTCATACAGACAAAGACAGATACCATATGTTTTCACTCTTATGTGGATCCTGAGAAACTTAACAGAAGACCATGGGGGAGGGGAAGGGGAAAAAAAGAGTTACAGAGAGGGAAGGAGGAAAACCATGAGAGACTCTTAAAAAGTGAGAATAAACTGAGGGTTGATGGGGGGTGGGAGGGAGGGGACAGTGGGTGATGGGCATTGAGGAGGGCACCTGTTGGGATGAGCTGTGTGTTGTATGGATACCAATTTGACAATAAATTTCATATTAAAAAAAAAAGAACTCAAGATGAATCACCAAACTAAATGTGAAAGCACATACTATAAAATTTTTAGAAAAAAACAGGAAAAACTCTTTAAGGCTTGAAGCTAGAGAAAGATTTCTTAAATATGACACCAAGGGGCGCCTGGGTGGCGCAGTCGGTTAAGCGTCCAACTTCAGCCAGGTCACGATCTCGCGGTCCGTGAGTTCGAGCCCCGCGTCAGGCTCTGGGCTGATGGCTCGGAGCCTGGAGCCTGTTTCCGATTCTGTGTCTCCCTCTCTCTCTGCCCCTCCCCCGTTCATGCTCTGTCTCTCTCTGTCCCAAAAATAAATAAACGTTGAAAAAAAAATTAAAAATAAATAAATAAATAAATATGACACCAAAAGCACAATCCATTTAAAATTTTTCGTAAACTGGATATCATCTTTTGCACTTCAAAAGACAGCATAAAGGAAATGAAGAAAAGCCAAAAACTACCAGAAATATTTGCAAAACACATCTGATAAAGAATTTGTATCTAGAATTTACAAACTCATAATTCAATAAGACATTAATAAAGACATAATTCAATAAAACATTAATAAAAGGGACACCTGGGTGACTCAGTCGGTTAAGTGTCCACTTCAGCTCAGGTCATGATCTCATGGTTCATGGATTCAAGCCCCAAGTCAGGCTTTGTGCTGACAGCTCAGAGCCTGGAGCTTGCTTTGGATTCTCTCTCTCTCTCTCTCTCTCTCTCTCTCTCTCTCTCTCTCTCTCTCCGCCTCTCCCCCACTCACACTCTGTCTCTGTCTCTCTCTCAAAAATAAACATTAAAAAAATTTTTTTAATTGATAAAAGATTTGAATAGCCATTTTATCAAAGATATCCAAACGGCATGAAAAGAGGCTCAATATTAGTCATTAGTCATATGCATCAAAACCACAATGAGATACCACTTCACACCCACCAGAAAGGCTATAATCAAAATGACATAAAATAATAAACATTGCTGAGCATGGGGGGAAATTGGAACCCTCATATTGCTGGTGGGAATATAAAATGATACAATCGTTTGGAAAGAAGTTTGGTAGTTCCTCAAAATGTTAACTAGTTGCCATATGACCCAGAACTCTGTCCCTGGATATCTACCCAAGAGAAATTAAAACACATTTCCAAACAAAAATGTGTACACAAATGTTTATACTAGCATTATTCAGAATAGCCAAAAAGTGGAAACAACCCAAATGTCTATCAAGTGATAAAATGAATCAACAAAATGTGGTATAGTCAAACAATGGAGTATTGTTCAACAATTAAAAAACAATGAAATACTGATACATACCAAAACATAAATGAACCTTGAAAACATTATGCTAAGAGAAAGAAATCAACATAAAAGACCACATATTGTATGATTCTATTTATATGATATGTCCAAAAAGGTCAAATTTAAGAAGATGTCCCTGGGTATAAGGGTAATTAACTGGGGGATTAAATGTAATTAGCCAATAGGAATCTTCTAGGAATGACAAAAATGTTTTAAGGCTGGAGGGTGAAGTTACACAACTCACTAAACCTATTAAAAATCACTGGGTTAGGGGCACCTGGGTGGCTCCATTGGTTAAGCATGACTTTGGCTCTGGTCATGATCTCACAGTTAGTGGGTTCAAACCCTACAGCAGGCTCTGTGCTGACAGCTCAGAGCCTGGAGCCTGCTTCGGATTCTGTATCTCCCTCTCTCTCTGCTCTTCCCCTGCTTGTGCCCTGTCTCCCACTCTCTAAAAAATATCTATTAAAACAATTTTTTTTTAATCATTAAGTTGTACTTTGAAATATGTGAATTTTGGGGCGCCTGGGTGGCGCAGTTGGTTAAGCGTCCGACTTCAGCCAGGTCACGATCTCGCGGTCTGTGAGTTTGAGCCCCGCGTCGGGCTCTGAGCTGACGGCTCGGAGCCTGGAGCCTGTTTCCGATTCTGTGTCTCCCTCTCTCTCTGCCCCTCCCCCGTTCATGCTCTGTCTCTCTCTGTCCCAAAAATAAATAAAAACGTAGGAAAAAATATTTTTTAAAGAAATATGTGAATTTTGTAATAACTAAATTATACTTTGATAAAGTTAATTTTTTTAAAAAATTATAGAGTTGGGGCATGAGCACAGGGCAGCAAAAGTACTAGGTTTTAGACTTGCTCAAGCTGTTAATGTGACACAGCCAAAGATGTGGGAAATTTAGAAAGTTGTTAAGGATACCAGACTATACAGGGCACCTGTGTGGCTCAGTCGGTTAAGTGTCTGACTTCAGCTCAGGTCATGATCTCACGGCTTGTAGGTTCAAGCCCCATGATGGGCTCTGTGCTGATAGACCAGAGCCTGGAGCCTGCTTCAGATTCTGTCTCCCTCTCTCTCTGCCCCTCCCTCGCTCTCTCTCTCTCTCTCTCAAAAATAAACATTAAAAAAAAAAAAAGGATACCGGACTATAGAGACATAGTAATACAGATTTTGAAGTCACCAGGAAAGACATGACAAAGGGACTTTTCTACATATCTTCAACTCTGTACAGATTGATCTACCCTGAAAAGATCTTCACTTGACTATACTAATTCTCTATTTTTCCTTTTCAAAGTTCTTCTACCAATGGTATTTATCCACTGTTTTCATTTCTTCCACTACCCCATTATTTTTTATTCTCTCAAAGTCTGTGTTCCTTACCTCTTCGTTGAAGCTACTCTCTCAACTCACTAATGGTACCCCATTTTCAAAACCAATGGCCTTTTCTCTGCTTTCATTCTTTTTAACTTCTCTACAAGAAGCCCTGTCAAACTCCAATCCTTAAAACTCATCTCTTAGCTTGTACAACCTTATACTATTCTTAGTCCTCTTCCCACCTCTCTTCTATTTCATTTACCAGATACTTTTACCTCCTACCCTCACTCACACCTTATCAAAATAAGGAAGAACCTTTTCTCCCAAAACAAGAGAGAACTTGGTTTTTACTTCTCTCTTCTTCTCACAAAATCTGTTAAGAAACAGGTCTTTGTTCTACTTTCCCAATTAAAAAATAAATTCAGAGAACGTTAACTTGGCTTTTCTCAATTTTGTAACTATCAAAAGCAATCCATGCAGAATTATACGTACAATGAGTGGAATTCAGTATCTGTTTGTGACTCATAAAAAAATGAATGGGATCATCCTAAGCATATCCCTGAAAAGATACTTTTTCCCACTTGGGAACTATTTTAAACATAAGTATAAAACTAAGAACTTTGTATGATTTTTTTCATATATACATTTAAAGTTGTAACAGTGTTTCCTGGCAGTTAATTTATGTCCCGGTAACTAATGATATTCAAACTAAAAATTTTAAAGTTCTAGAAAGCCAACTAAAATTTCCCCAGATTTCTAATGTCTGGAATCACAAAGCACAAAACTATAAATCTCAAGTAACATCTACAAACAACATGGCTCTAGGCTATTCTCCTGTAGACTATTTGTTTCAGTCAAACTTTATTGTCTTCAAAAAAATTAATAATAACTTACCAAATCCCAAAGTCCAACTTGCCCAGATTTGGCCCCAGCTGCCACCAAAGTTCTAATTTCTGATGGGTGGAGAGCCACAGAGAGTATTGGGCCTTTGGTAACTTTATGAACAGTATCTTCATTAATGACCATGCCATTTAAATTGGCTTTATAGCTGAGAAAACAAATAAATTTTAGAAGTAAAGCCAATCAATAGTGAAAATAACTAAAACATAACTCAAAAAAAAAGAAAAGAAAAAAGACACAGTAAATAAATAGTTAACCTCCTAGTAACCAAGGAAATCAAATTAAAAAATGGGATACTATTCTTCACTTATAAAAGGTAGCAGGCTGCAGTCAAACATATACATTCGTTAATAGTGCTAGTGGCAGAGTAAATTCACATAAAATTTTCAGAAGAAAAAAAAGATTTCAGAAAACAATTCAGCAATGTATGTCCATGATATTTGACTCAGTAATCTCACTTCTGGAATCTATCCTAAAGAACTAACACACTATCACATTTAAACACAAGCACATATATAACTAAATACACAACTAAACACACAAAACTAAATTGAAAATAATTCCAGGGGCACCTGGGTGGCTCAGTCGGTTAAGCATCCAATTCTTGCTTTCAGCTCAGGTCATGATCTCACTATTTATGAGACTGAGCCCTACATCAGGCTCTGCACTGTTAGTGCAGAGCCTGCTTGGGATTGTCTCTCTCCATTTATCTCTATATTTATTAAATAAATTTTAAATAAAAAGAAAAAAAAGAATTCTAAATATCAGGAGAGGAAGAAGAGGTTAAGTAAATGCCACCTACTAAATAATATGCAATTAATCAATAAATTTAAAGACTTTAATAAATGTAACTGTTAAAGAAAAAGCAGAATATAAATGTGTATATACATTAGAACATAATAAACTAAAAATGTATGTGTATTCATTCATTTATTAAACAATGAGTGAATACATATTAAGTGCCAGGCATCATTTTGGTTACTGAAACAAAATCCCTGCACTCATGAAGCTTATATCATAATGGTATTACATATGGCAATACCTGAAAGGAAACATACAAAAACAACAGTTGTTAGGTGGAAATATTATGGGTATTTTTTCCACCTCATTTTCAAAATCTCCTGTAATGGTATATAGTCTGTATAACTTAAAGATTTCAGAAAATATAAAACAAAGACAAGGCATTTCAACTCACTTTTTAATGCTAGATAACTCCTTCTCAGTATTCTTAATACTTGTCTGCAACAATGAAAGAGACCAAAGTACTAAGTTAATATGTATGCTGAAATTTCCTTAACAGATAATTCTCAAAGCTATAAGCCCTCCCAAGTGATACCTTGCTCACTTCTGCCCAAGTCTGTAGGAATCCTTTAAACAGGTCGTTGTCATCATCTCCATTTTCAGGAGTCATTTCTAAAGGCCCAGGAGGTAACAAAGGCTGTTTTAAAAAATAGGAAAATCAAGAATAAAATGAGAAATAAAAAGGTTGACTGACTCTTGCTCTGCCCTGGAATGTTTTTCACTACTTTACTTTTGATACCAACAACATAGGTGACACATCAACAGTATTCAAAAATAATGTTCAATGAATGATTGCCAGGTATCCTGTAAGCTAATAATATATATTATCCCATTTAATACTTCACAATAATCTAGTGAATGAGATACCACATTTTAAAGAAATTATAATGAAACTTAGAGAAGTTACCTTGTCCAAAGTTACACTGCCAAAAGAGGAGTTGACAGGAATTGGTTCAGAACAGTTCAATTTGTTACTCAGTTAATTATTCTATGCCAGTGGGTTTTTTTAAGTTTATTTATTTATTTTTGAAAGAGAGAGAGAGAGAACGTGCACACACTCAAGCGTGCCCGTGAGCAGGGAGGTCCAGAGAGAGAGAGAGAATCCCAAGCAGGCACTGTGCTGTCAGTGCAGAGCCCAATTCAGGGCTCAATCCTACAAACCATGAGATCATGACCTGAACTGAAACCAAGAGTTGGACCCTCAACCAACAGAGCCACCCAGGCACCCTGCCAGTGTTTTTTTATTTTTATTTATTTATTTTTTTTAATTTTTTTTTTTAACATTTATTTATTTTTGAGACAGAGAGAGAGCATGAACAGGGGAGGGTCAGAGAAAGAGGGAGACACAGAATCTGAAACAGGCTCCAGACTCTGAGCTGCCAGCACAGAGCCCGACGTGGTGCTCGAACCCACGGACCGTGAGATCATGACCTGAGCCGAAGTCGGATGCTTAACCAACTGAGCCACCCAGGCGCCCCTGCCAGTGTTTTTTTAAATCCTAGGTTGTAACCCATGGATGGTGAAATCATTTCAATATGTTAAAACAAACAATGTTTTCATGAACGACAAAAGAATAGAGTCAAAAATACAAAATATACATCACATGCAGCAAGTTTAAGTACCATTTCACAAAAGTTCTGCTTTAGCTGTGTGGAATGAGCTCAATGTAAATACATTTATCATGAGTGAAACTTCAGGAAAATTGGAAAGCTACTCTTCCCAAGTACCTTAATTTGCAATTAGCTCCCAAAGCACCAGTCTATTTAGTGCTATCTTCCAATTTAGAATTAAGCACTTAGATATAAAGTATTAAAAACCATAGGTGTTCTTGAATAAAAAACATAATTATAATCTGATTTAGACAATAAACTTCGTAAATAAAACTCTTTCTACTCACTAAAAGTACAAAGTTATACCACAGCAAAGGGCTATCACTATTATAACATATTATTTATTATTAATAACATTAATACTACCATTTATTGATTACTTACTAAGCCCTTAACACAACAGAAGAAACTTTACAGATACTATTTCACTTAACCCCCTCAACACCCCTTTGAAGTTTCTATACTATTACCACTTTAAATATGGGGAAATGGGCTCAGAAAGGTTAAGTAATTTACCCACAATTCCACTGCAGGTAAGCTTGCAGAAATATAGAATCCAAACTAGTTTTTATGACTTTGAAATCTTAATCATTAAACTATAAACAGCAGTAGTAAATTAATGAAGTACGGGGGCACCTGGTTGGTTAAGTATCTGACTCTTGATTAGGCTCAGGTCATGATCTCACGGTTCATGAGATCCAGCCCCACATCAGGCTCTGCACAGACAGCTCTGACAGTGAAAGTAGGCTTGGGAATCTCTCTCTCTGCCTCCTTCCCACTCACACTCTCTCTCTCCCTCTCAAAATAAATAAACATTTTTTAAATTAAGTAAAAATTGAACATAAGTTAATGACTTTTTAATCTAGTTTCAAACACTTCAAATTTTTCACTATTTTATTGAGTAACATATTGTTTTTGCACTTTCTTACATTTTCATCTGCTATTAATGTCGGCTGGGTTGGGGTTGCTGGTAATGACACTCCTGAAGGATCTACTTTTAGTAATCTCATTGACCTTCTACATCCAGTCCCATTTTCTCTCTTCTTAGGCATTTTTCTAAGGGAGTGGGGAAAAAACTCAAGTTATAAAACAGTTATATGTACTTACTAATATTAAGGAGGTAACTTTTAGGAATGTATGTCACAGATACACTCACACATTACAAGGATGTATGCACATGACTACAATGACTTTAATTGGGCACTTATGATTTTTCATGCTTTTAAATAAAATCATAGATGTTCATCATGAGGAGGTGAGAGGTGTTAAAATAAATTATAATATACATCTCTAACAGAATAATATGCAACCATAAGAAAATTGAAATAGATCTTTGCATGATGATATGACATGAACTCTTAAGATGTAAGAAAAAAAAACAAGGTCCGCTACATGTTGAATATGCTTCAACATATTTGCTTTTTTAGAAAAAGGTTATGTACACACATACATTTTTACATGCTAAGATTATCTATGGAAGAATATACATGAAACTATTAATAGTGGTTTCTTCTAGGGAGAAGGCCAGAAGAACTAAGGTCTAAAATGGAAAAGAGATTTAAATGTTTCATTGCATTTCCGTCCAAACAGTTTACTTTTTAAAATCATGTAAGTACACTGCTTTTTTATGCACTATTTTTTCATTTTAAAAAAGTAGTTCAGAACTTCCAGTTTCAAGTTCCACATATAAGGAGCTTGAAAGTCATCATTCTGTCTTTTCAAGTAAAAATCTGAACAGATTAAAAAATCAACAACTCTTCTAGGTTCCTTACAAGGCAAGGACACAGTACAAACTGCTGACCTCAATACTGGAGAGACAGAGAAATACAAGGAGTCATGGCTTACTGGAATAGAAAGTCAAGAACAGAAACCACAATGGGAACCAGTACAAAGGTAGGAAAACCTGAACTGTAATTGCCCAATTGATGGGGGCTCAGTGTGGACAAAAACCTGCACATGAGTCTTTATAGAAGCTTTATTCAGAACAGTCAAAACTGGGAAGCAGCCAAGATGTTCTCCACTAATTGAACAAATAAACTACAACACATCCAGACAATGGAATATTATTCAGCACAAAAAAAGAAATGAACTATCAAGCCATGCAAAGACATGGAGGAAAACTAATTGCATAATACTAAGAGAAAGAAGTCAATTTGAAAGGCTACATACTTTATGATCCCAAATACACCACATTCTGTTAAAGGCAAAACTACAGAGACAAAAAGATTCGTAACTGCCACATTTGAGGGTGGTAAGGTGATGAATAAAGAGAACACAGGTAGTAAAAATACTCTATATATTGGGGCACCTGTGTGACTCAGTCAGTTAAGCATCCGACTTTGGCTCAGGTCATGATCTTGCAGTTTGTGAGTTTGAACTTGCATATCTTGCATATCATGATCTTGCTTGGGATTCTCTCTCTCTGCCCCTTCCCCACTTGCATGACTCTCTCCTTCTCTCAGAATGAATGGATAAACTTTAAAAGATATGTATGTGTGTGTGTGTGTGTGTGTATTATAAAGATGGATATGTCATTACACATTTGTACAAACCCATACAATGTACAAAACCATGAGTGAATTGTAAGACAAACAATGGACTTTAGGTAATTATAATGTATCAGTGTAGATTCATCCTTGGTAACAAATGTACCACTCTGCTGAATGATGTTGATAATGGGAGAGTTTATGCATGTGTGGGAGCAGAATAATATATGGGAAATCTTTGTACCTTTCTCTCAATTTTACTGTGAAGCAATTCTTTAAAAATTCAGTCTTAAAAAATACCTTCAAGGGAGACCACCCCCACTATTTTGAGAGATTTACATCCAGGAGCTTGACTAGGTCTTCAGTAAATATGAGAAAAATCTCCTCATGCTTCCCAGAGGGGGAAGGGAAAAAGAACTACTCTGAAATACTCCTGCCCTTAGGAGAACAAGTTAACCAGAGCCTAACCTGCTGGAGTATTATCAGAGTCTACCCTGAGAGAAAGGAAATACCCAACTCCTGCCCACTTTTAGCATCCTCTCCCAACCAAGGTGGGGTGGGAGGAGGAAACAAACTAAAACACTTGTGAAGTTCACTGTTAAGAGATACAGGTGTGCTAAATGACTGAGACCTAATCACAGGACTATAGAATGCTTTCTCTCCCCTCTCACACATTACTAATGACCAATTTACAAACTTCCTTTTTCCTCATACATCATATCATGTCCAGCTATCAAGAAAAAAATCACAAGGCACAATGAAAAACAACATAATTTAAAGAGATAGAGCAAGCTTGAGAACCATATATGGCAGGAATGTTGGAATTATCTGAACAGGAATTTAAAACAACTATGATTGATATACTAAAGGCTCTAACACATAAAAAAAAAAAAAAAAAAAACCATGCAAGATAGGCAATGTAAGAAGAGAGATGGAAATCCTAAGAAAGAACCAAAAGAAATGCTAGACATCAAAAACGCTGAAAGAAATGAAGTGTGCCTTTGATGAGCTCATTAGTAGACAAGACATGGCTAAGGAAAGAATCTCTGAGCGCGAGGTATTTCAACAGGAACCTCCAAAACTAAAAAGCAGGGAGAAAAAATAATGAAAAAAAACCTGAACAGAATATCCAAGGACTATGGGATAATTACAAAAGGTGCAACATACACATAATGGGAATACCAGAAGGATAAGAAATAGAGAAAAACAGATGATATTTGAAAAAATAGTAACCGAGAATGCCCCAAATTAATGTCAGACATCAAGTTAACAGATCCAGGAAGCTCAGAGTACATCAAGCAAGATAAATGCCCCCCAAAAACTACACCTAAGGAATTCATTTCCAAACTATGGAAAATCAAAGAGAAAGAAAAAATCCCGAAAGAAGCCAGAAGGAAAAAAACATCTTACCTATAGCCAAAGATAAGAACTACACCCATACTCCAGTAAACTATGCAATCAAGAGAGTAGAGTAAAATATCTTAAGTGTTGAGAGGAGCACCTGGCTATCTCAGTGGGTAGAGCATACAACTCTTGATCTTGGAGTCATGAGCTCAAGCTTCACATTGAGGGTATAAATACATTGAGCTCAAGCCCCACATTGGGTATAGAGCTTACTTTTAAAAAACTGGGGCACCTGGGTGGCTCACTCGGTTAAGTGTCTGACTCTTGATTTCGGCTCAGGTCATGATCTCATGGTTTGTGAGATTGAGCCCTGCAATGGGCTCTGCACTGACAGCACAGAGCCTACTTTGGGATGGTCTCTCCCTCTCCCTCCTTCCCCCGACTCCTTCTCCCTCTCTCTCTTTCTCAAAATAAATAAATAAACTTTTAAAAAAAATTAAGAGAATTTGTTGCCAGTACACATGCCTTACAAAAAAGGTTAAAAAAAGTTCTTTACAGGCACCTGGGTGGCTCAGTCAGTTAAGCATCTGACTTCGGCTCAGGTCATGATCTCACTGGTCATGAGTTGAAACCCCACGTCAGGCTCTGTGCTGACAGCTAGGACCCTAGAACCTGTTCAGGTTCCGTCTCCTTCTCTCTCTGCCCCTCCCTCATTTGCACTCTGTCTCTCTCTCTCAAATATAAAACATAAACATTAAAAAAAAATTCTTTAGAGAGAAGAAAAACAGATCTGAAAATCAGATCCACCAAAAGGAGCATCAAAGAATGAATAAGGTAAAAAAAAATTTTATTTTTCTCATTCTTAATTAGTAACAGCTAGCTCAAAATAACAATAGCAACAATGTATTTAGTTATGTACCCTTATGTATATATCTTGTGTGTTGGTATACCAACATGTATATATACTTATGTATGCTTATACATGTGAAATGAATGACAGCAATGATACAAGGGACAAAAGGGAAGAATTAGGATTATTTTGTTATTATAAGGTGCTCATACTATACCTCACTCACACCCTGAAGTGATATACTGTTTTTTTTTTAATTTTTTTTTTTTAACATTTATTTATTTTTGAGACAGAGAGAGACAGAGCACGAACGGGGAGGGTTAGAGAGAGAGGGAGACACAGAATCCGAAACAGGCTCCAGGCTCTGAGCAGTCAGCACAGAGCCCGACATGGGGCTCGAACCCACGGACAGTGAGATCGTGACCTGAGCCAAAGTCGGACGCCCAACTGACTGAGCCACCCAGGCGCCCCAAGAAGTGATATACTGTTAATTGAAAATGGGTGGCTGGGGCAACTGGGTGGCTCACTCAGTTAAGGGTCCAACTCTTGATTTTGGCTCAGGTCATGATCTCACAGTTCACGAGTTCAAGCCCCAAGTCGGGCTATGCACTGTCAGTGTGGATCCTGCTTTTCATTCTCCTCTCCCTCACTCTGTCCCTCCCTCTCCCTCTCTCAGAATAAATAAACTAAAAAAAAAATTTTTTTTAATAGACTTGGGGGGTGCCGGGGTGGCTCAGTCAGTTGAGTGTCTGACTTTTGATTTCAGCTCAGGTCATGATCCCAGGGTTGTGGGATCAAGCCCCCTGTGTCAGGCTCTGTGATAAATGTGGAGCCTGCTTGGGATTTTCTTTTTCTCTCTTCCCCCCCCCCCACTTTTGCCCCACTCTCTCTATATATAAAATAAAATAAAAATTTCTAATGGAAGTGAATTAGTTGTAGATTATACTGTAAACTCCAGGGCAATCACTAACCAAAAAAAAACAGTGAAAAAAATTGTAACTGATACACTAAGAAACAAGAGAAGATGGCATCATGCAAAACGTTCAATTAAAACCATAAAAGGCAGAAAAATAGTGGAGACAAAAATAGGGGGAAAAAAACAAGGGCAATAAGTAGTAAACATTAACAAATATGATAGATATTAATCCAAATATATCAATACTCACTTTGAACATCAAAGTCTAAATGCACCAATTAAAAGAGACTGTCAGAGTGGATCAAACACAATACTCAAACTTATGTTGTCTATAAGAAACCCACTTTAAATATAAAGACACATAAATATTAAAAGTAAAGGAATGGAGCAATCCCTATCAAAATAACACCAGCATTCTTCACAGTTAGAACAAACAATTCTAAAATTTGTATGGAACCTG